TTGGTAATGCACAGGCACACATTTCAGTGTATATCACACTTGCAGTTCTGCTCATCCTCACTGTGTATGTACACAAATCTCTTATTGTGTGTCTGGGGCTTTTACACATTCTTGCTCACTGTAGGTGTCACACATTGATTCTCTGTGGGTATCTGTGTGTATCACTTACTCTTTCACTGTGTTTATCTTAGCTGTGTGCCTCTCACCCTGTGTATATACCTCTCATTCACTGTGTTTGGGCCTTGCATTTAGTGTATTTTTCACAGTGCGCATCTCTCTGTCTGTCTGACTTGCTCACTATGGCCTCTCATATTTTTGTCAATATATGAATGACTCATTCTGCCTCTCTCTTGCTCACTCTCTGCTTGTGTGTCGTATTCTCCATGTCTCTTAACATTTGTGTACGACTCAGTTTTTGTCTGTCACCTTGCGGGTGTCTATCCCTCACTATGCCTCATTCATATATGTCTCTCACTCTATCTATGTCTTTTTCATTTTTAGTTAGTGTGCATCTCTTTCTGAGCCTCACTCATCCTGCTGTCTCTCCCTCTCACACACAAACTCTTGAGTTTATGTATTTCTCACTTTCTGCATACGAGTCACGTTTGGGTCTCTGGTCTCTCATATGCTGAATTTCAATTATAAACACGTAATAAAAAATTTAACATTTAGAACCAGCTAAATCCCCTCTATCATTTCTGATAGTATGCATCTTTTTCCTACTCTTCGTCTGTTTATGTATCTGCTGCTACCTCTTTACGTGTGTCTATCTCTAATACTATTTGTGTGTGTCTGGACATGCCCCGTCTTTCGCTAGTTGTGTGTGTGTGTGTGTGTCTGTCTGCTTCCTCTAAATCTGTGAATCTCTAGATCTGTGTGCGTCTGTCTGTATCTATGTGCTTACGTGTATGTCTTACTGTTTTTCTATGTGTGTCTGCCTGTCTGTGCATCTGTCTAAATGGGTCTTTCTGCCCATCTGTGCATCCCTCTATGTGGGTCTGCCTATCTGTGTGTCTCCATCTACGTGCCCATCTGCCTAACTACGTCCACCTATATGTATCCTATATAGGTGCAACTGTGTGCCTATGTAAGTGTAACTGCGTATCTACGTGCAACTATCTGCTATGTTCATCTGTCAATCTGTGTGTGTGTTTGTCCATCTATGTAGGTCTGTGTGCCTATTTACCTGTGGTCACCTGTCTATCTACGTCAGTACATTGCTCTATCTATGTGCCTCCCATCGGTCCATCAATGTACGTCCAGCTGTCCATCTATGCTTGTCCACCTGTCTTTCTACGTCTACCTCAGGCCGCTGAAACTCTTGTTCATGCCTTCATCACCTCCAGGCTCGACTATGCAAATGCCCTGCTTGTCTGCCTTCCAAACTCCTCTCTCCACAGGCTCCAGATAATCCAGAACTCTGCAGCCCGTGTCCTCTCCCGCATCAAACTCCGTGACCCCATCACCCCCACTCTCGCCCGACTCCACTGGCTCCCTATCCCTCAGAGGATCCAGTTCAAAATCCTGGTCCTCACCTACAAAGCCCTCCATGGCCTCACCCCACCCTACCTCTGTGACCTCCTAACCCCCTACCAACCCACCCGTTCCCTCCACTCAGCCGGCTCTGGCCTGCTCCACGTCCCCCGACCCACCTGTCTGACCATTGGCGGGAGAGCCTTCAGCCACTCTGCGCCCAATTTCTGGAATTCCATCCCCCTCCTTAGCTTCCTTTCAAATCCTGCCCTCAAGACCCTCCTCTTTAACCATGCCATCGGCCACCCCCATTCCCCTCCCCTCCCAATCCCAGCTCAGGTCTGAAATGCTGTACTCTGTCCAGCGCTTGGGACATCCTCCCAACGTGAAAGACGCTATACAAATGTAATGTTGTTGTTGTATCTGCATAACTACACGTGATCGTCTATCTACGCAGGTCCGCTTGCCTCGCTATGTGCAACTATCAGTCTATTTTTGTGTCCATCTTTCTGTTAGTCCAGTCTATAGATTTATGAAGTCCAAGAGGTAGAATTATGGTAAAATGGGAAAATAACTTCAGGGAGGGAGGGCTCTGCCCTCCAGACTTGTCATTGAGCACTTAAAAGATGGGAGTCAGCTTCATGGTATGCTTATTTGCCAAAGCCCATCCTATGAGCATCTGGATTTAGCAGTTGATATTGAATAAGCCTGGTACACGGCATCAGACGTGGACCTCTGGAACACCAAGTTGGCAGGCACATCACACATTGTCCTGTATAAGTCGTCCCATCATACTGAAGCCAGATGTCCATCGAAAAGCCAATGAGGAATCTGAGGCTTGGGATGACCTCAGATGGAAGGCACAGCCTGGAATCCAAATTTGTCAACACAATCTTATGTATCCAGGGGCTTGGTAGACACCTTGATTGGTGAGCTTTGGGTGACATTAAACTGAGATTGCGTCTATATCTCCTGCTCTGGTGTACATTAAAGTTCCCATGGCACTATTTGAAAAAGGGAGTTTTAATAATAATAATTTTCCCCAATGTCAGCCAAAAATTTCCCAGATAAAATTGGTGGCTGTTTGTTGGACATTGCTGTCTGCAAATTGTCTGCCTTGTTCACCTAAAAAAGTAGTCACTACACTTTACAGTAAATCCTGTGAAGTGCTTTGACATATTTTGATGATGTTCTGATGTGCTGTATCAAATGTAAGAATATTAGTTAAATCTCTGTGTGTGCACTTGTCTTTTTCACTATGTGGTGTCGGGTCTCCCTGCCAATAAATATCTGTGTGTGTTTATGTACGTCTCTCTCTCACTACGTCTTTATATCTCATTGTACCCCCATCTCTCACTGTAGCTCTGTTGTTCTTTCCGTGTTTCCATTTTTTCTGTGGCTCTATTTCTCTTTCTCTCCATCTGTGTGTGTCTTTCTCGTTCTGCATTTGTGTGTCTCTTCTTGTCTCCATCTATATCTTCTTTCTCTCTCTTTGACTTTGTGTAAGTCTCTGTAATTATGCATCGCTTTGTTTGTGTGTCTGTCTGTCTCTCCCTCCCTCTCTCCGGTCTCTCCGTCTGTCTCCGTCCCTCCGTCTCTGCCTCTCCCTGTCTGTCTTCGACTCTCCATCTCTTCCAATCTGTCACCCTTCCTTCCGTCTGTCACCGTTCCGTCCGTCTTCCCATCTCTGTCTGTCACCTTTCCGTCTCCGTTTGTCTCCCTTCCCTGTATCACCCTTCCCTGTCTGTCCCCGTTTGTCCACTCTCCGTCTGTCCCCGTTTGTCCCCTCTCCCTGTGTCCCCCCCTCTCCTGTGTCCCCCCCTCTCCCCCTCTCCCCCCTTCCCCTCCGCTCCCCCTCTCCCTGCCTGTCCCCCTCTCCCTGCCTGTCCCCTCCCTGTCCCCCTCTCCCTGCCTGTGTCCCCCTCTCCCTGCCTGTCCCCCTCTCCCTGTCTCCCTGTCCCCCTCTCCGTGTCCCCCTCTCCCTGCCTGTTCCCCCCTGTCCCCCCTCTCCCTGCCTGTACCCCTCTCCGTTTCCCCCTCTCCCTCCCTGTCCCCCTCTCCGTGTCCCCCTCTCCCTGCCTGTCCCCCCTCTCCCTGCCTGTGTCCCCCTCTCCTCCTGTCCCCCTCTCCTGTGTCCCCCTCTCCCTCCCTGTCCCCCCCTCTCCCTCCCTGTCCCCCACTCCCTGTCCCCCTCTCCCTGTCCCCCCTCTCCCTGTCCCCCCTCCTCCCTGTCCCCCCCCTCCCTGTCCCCCCTCTCCCTGTCCCCCTCTCCCTTGTCCCCCTCCTCCCTGTGTCCCCTCCCCTGTCCCCCCTCCCTGTCCCCTCTCCCTGTCCCCTCTCCCTGTCCCCCTCTCCCTGTGTCCCCTCTCCTGCCTGTCCCCCCCCCCCCCCTCTCCCTGTGTCCCCCTCTCCCTGTCCCCCCTCTCCCTGCCTGTCCCCCTCTCCCTCCCTGACCCCCTCTCCCTGTGTCCCCCTCTCCCTGTGTCCCCCCCTCCCTCTCCCTGCCCTGTGTCCCCCTCTCCCTGTCCCCCCTCTCCCTGCCTGTGTCCCCCCTCTCCCTGCCTGTCCCCCCTCTCCCTGTGTCCCCCTCTCCCTCCCTGTCCCCCCTCTCCCTGTGTCCCCCTCTCCCTGTCCCCTCTCCCCTGTGTCCCCCTCTCCTCCCTGTCCCCCCTCTCCCTGTCCCCCCTCTCCCTGTGTCCCCTCTCCCTGTCCCCTCTCCCTTGTCCCCTCTCCCTGTGTCCCCCTCTCCCTCCTGTCCCCCTCTCCCTGCCTGTGTCCCCCTCTCCTGCCTGTCCCCCCTCTCCCTGCCTGTGTCCCCCTCTCCCTGTCCCCCCTCTCCCTGCCTGTGTCCCCCCTCTCCCTGTCCCCCCTCTCCCTGCCTGTGTCCCCCTCTCCTGCCTGTGTCCCCCCTCTCCCTGCCTGTGTCCCCCTCTCCCTGCCTGTGTCCCCCTCTCCCTGCCTGTGTCCCCCTCGTCCCTCTCCCTGCCTGTGTCCCCCTCTCCCTGCCTGTGTCCCCCCTCTCCCTGCCTGTGTCCCCCCTCTCCCTGCCTGTCCCCCTCTCCCTGCTGTGTCCCCCTCTCCCTGTCCCCCTCCCTGTCCCCTCTCCCTGTGTCCCCCTCTCCCTGTGTCCCCCTCTCCCTGTCCCCCTCTCCCTGTCCCCCCTCCCTGTGACCCCTCTCCCTGTGTCCCCCCTCCCTGTGTCCCCCCCTCTCCCTCCCTGTCCCCCTCTCCCTGCCTGTCCCCCCTCTCCCTGTCCCCCCTCTCCCTGTGTCCCCCCTCTCCCTGTCCCCCCTCTCCCTGCCTGTCCCCCCTGTCTGACTGTCTGTGACCCGGGCCCCGGGCAGGAAGATGGCGGCGGGGCCGGGAGGCGGAGCGCCGCACTGGGCTGGTGCTGAGAGGAGAGTGCCGGGCCCTGCCCCTGACGCTCGGTGTCTTGTGTTCCCTCAGGAGGAGAAGGCCGGGGGCGGCATGCCGGGGCCGGGGCCGGGGCCTGGGCCTGGGCCTGGGCCTGGGCCGGGGCCGGGGGCTGCCCAGCCGCACGGGGCCGGGGACGAGTCCTCAGACAGCGACGGGGAACACGAGGGGCCGCAGAAACTCATCAGGAAAGTGTCCACCTCGGGGCAGATCAGGAGCAAGGTAAGAGCCCGCGCCCTGCCCTGCCAGCCCAGCCCTGCCCTGCCAGCCCTGCCCCGCACTGCCCTGCCAGCCCCGCCCCGCCGGCCCGGCCCGGCCCGCACTCTCCTCTCCTCTCCTGGCTGCTGCCGGCCCGTCGCTATGGGCGTTGCCAGGGAGCGAAGCGCCCGGCAACAGGCGCTGCCCCCGGGGGGGCGGAGCCACAGCGCCACCCGAGAGAGAGAGTGACGTGACGTGTGTGGCACCACCACTGCCGTGCACCCCCTCCCCTCCCCTCTCCTCTCCCCCCCTCCCTCCCCTCATTCGCGGCACATCTCAAGACCGTCCTCTTCGATCGTGCCCTCAGTCACCCTCCTTACCCGCCCCGAAACCCCCTCCTCCCCCCCACTCGCCACACTCCCCCCCCCCCCCGCCCGCCACACTCCCCCCCCGCCCGCCACACTCCCCCCCGCCCGCCCGCCACACTCCCCCCCCCCCGCCCCGCCACACTCCCCCCCCCCGCCCGCCACACTCCCCCCCCCACCACACTCCCCCCCCCCCGCCCGCCACACTCCCTCCCCCCCCGCCCGCCACACTCCCCCCCCCCGCCCGCCACACTCCCCCCCCCGCCTGCCACACTGCCCCCCCCACCGCCCGCCACACTTCCCCCCCACCACACTACCCCCCCCGCCCGCCACACTCCCCCCCCCCCCCCCCCACACTCACCCTACCCCTCCCACCACACTCCCCTCCCGTCACACTCCCCTCCCGTCACACTCCCCTCCCGTCACACTCCCCTCCCCCACACTCCCCTCCCCCTACACTCCCCTCCCACCACACTCCCCACTCCGGTCCAAACCCCTGGTTGTCCAGGGACATCCTCCCGATGGGAAAGGCACTCTACAAATGTCATGTTGTATTGATGTGCCAGGCTACCACTGCACCACTACTGCTACGCGCTGCCCTGCCTATACTACTGCCCAGCTGAGCAATGGTCCTTCCTGCTTTTTCTCTTAAGTCGCTCCGGTTCTCTCTCCATCCGTTACTTTCTGTGTCAATCGACAGTGCAAAGAAAACACAGTTTTCACTGTGTGTGTGAGTGTTTTGGGGGAGGGGAGGGTAATAGGTAGGCACAGTGGGCACACACCACATGTTTGATTTGTTGTCGAAACCAACCAACAGCGTTTGCCCCATTCGCTGCATTGCAGGTGCAAACAAATGAATGTCACCTACCCCATGAGGTGAAATCTTAAGGCTTTCTTGTGCATCTTTAAAGCCTCAGGGTGCAAGAGGATGATTTACTGGCAGCAGGACTCTCAACATGGGATTGAATGACCCCCTAAAGGGGCAGCTATCTTTGGTTAATTTGTCAAACAGACCACATTTTGCTTGTTACAAACACAGAACTATGAACAGAAGTCGCTGGGAACGCTCAGCAGGTCAAGCAGCATCTATGGAGAAAGGAAAGTGAGTCAACGTTTCAGGTCCACGACCCTTCGTCAGAGTTCTCTGAGTTCTGACGAAGGGTCGTGGACCCGAAACGTTGACTCACTTTCTCCATAGATGCTGCCTGACCTGCTGAGTGTTCCCAGCGACTTCTGTTTTTGTTTCAGATTTGCAACATCTGCAGAATTTCGCATTTTGTTTCTACAGAACTATGAATCCGTTTTGAAACTGATTATTGGGTCACTTACACATTGAAGTCATTTGATGAAATATGAACCACCCCTTCTCCAAGCCCAAACAAAACAACAGTCCCATTATACTTTTGAAGAAATTGAAGACGGCTTCTCTTTCACATGGTTCATATCTCAATGACTGTTAGGAGGGTCTGTCTTTGATCTGTGTTGTAATGTGGAATCTATGTTTAACTAGTAGGGTAATAGTGCTGCTGTTTCTGGCCTTAAGGCCTTTTTTTTTGGTCACCCGGGTATGACGTGTGGCAAATCCATCGCCATAGATAAGACTAAACCAGACCGAGAGTTCCACATAACCATGCCATCTACGTGTGGAATTTTCCTTATGTCTGGAATGGAGCCCAGATGTCTGTCCATAGGGGGCTCTTACCTAATCCCGAGAGATTATTAGACCCAGGTTGGCAAGAGCCAAGGTTTCAGGACCCCACAGAGTATGCTGGGGGTACTGTTTGGAGTTTAAACCAGTAGAAACTGCATAGTTTGCAATTGGGAATACTGTCTGGCAAACTTCCTGCTGCTTGTCTAGCTAGGACTGCTCAAAGCATTAAGCTAGTACTTCAAGACTCTGTAATAACAGATCAGGCAACCTAGCTTGTCAGCAGGCAATGGAAGGGCAAACAAGTCACTGAGAGCTGGTATTCTTCTTACTTGGCTGCTGTTAACCCTGCAAGACAAAGTCCTACCCGGGAGAGTGGTCTTAACTGGAAAAACAGTGGAAAGCTTGCCAGACGTTGTTGTCAGTGGCCAGCTCTCTAGGTTTAGCTGGTTAACCCAGCAGTATCCAATCGCACACTGTGGAGACCCCAAGCCTTGGCTCTCAACAAAATGTGCCTGTCCTCTCCAGGATGAAGTAAGTTCCTGCAGGGAGAGAGGGACACTCCATTGCAGACAATTGAAAATGAAATTTCCATGTGTAGGTGGCATAGATATATGGAACTCTTACTCTGGTTTGGATACTCTTAAGCATGGTGATAGATTTCCATGTGTCGGATACCATTCTGACTGAAAACAATAATGACTTGAAATAGGTCAGAGAGTAAATAAAAACTGTTACATAGGTTGTTTTTGAATATTGCAACTTTGCAAAATCTTACAATAACATACAATAACAAGATAAATTTGTCAAGTAGAGTTGATGAGAGAGATACAATCATAGACTATATCAGTGCTGTGATATAGAAAGTTAAAGTAGCAATTAAGTCGATTGAGCAAGTGAAAAGTGTCAGATATGTTAAGTTTTATTGAAGCTCTGCGATGATTGCCTTAGAAATTATTTAAATTGTGTCTTCAGTATCAAATTGAAAATCTGCACAAAACCAAGCTTTAATTTTCAGGGACATGACTTGTGCCTGGAACAAAAGATTTCAGCAATTCCACTTTGCAAGTTAAAGCAGATCATCTTTTTCTAAATTAAAGATGCTGCCTTGTCAGACTGTTTTGAATGTCTTTAGCAATTTTTGCTATGTATAATTTTCCTATGTAGTAAATTGACATTTTACTTTGCAGTGTGCTAAATAAGAATATACAGTGTTTGAAATTCAAATCTTAATGAATGTGTTGTTTTCTTTACAACATCCTCCTGAAGCAAACAGGAAAAGTCTCCTGTGTGGTGTAGATACTGTTAAAAGCTGCTGTTCCCATAGTTTGCACTGCACATTTTAGCATCATTTGCTTTGTCAATTATTGAACCTGGTGTTTGGTAGAATGAGGTGCCATTTGATCATTGTCATTGTGCGTTTGGATAAACTGACGTTCGTGTTAAACTGGAAAAGTCTGCATCAGATCATATCCTTGGCCCTTCCTTTTTCTCTTCAATATATTACATTTTAAGTGCTCAGAGAAGCTACCCGGAATGCTTTACAAATTCAAGTTGTTATTTTGTCTTTTTTTAAAAAAAATTGCAATGGCAGTTTGATTATTTTTAGTTCTAATGAAAATATGTCTCAGTCAGTTATATTAGTCGTTCACTGCTGTTAAAGTAGAGTCAAAACTGTGGTCTTGTGTTGTGGTTTAAGGGCAATATTGCAAAGCTCAATTGAACAATAAATGAATACCGAGGTTTTGCAAATTTATAGTTAATAACCTGCAATGGTTATTTACTTCAAGCTGCCTATTCAAAATGTATTTGTCTTTAACTACAGTATATGGTTGGATTTGATAGTTCAAATCTTATCTTAAAAAAAGCCTATTTTTTAAAAGCTAAGCCTTAGTTTTAGTGAATATTCCTGTAATAACAAGAGTCTTACATAAGGTTTGATAGTTTTAAGGTTTCAGAAGAAATGGTATTCTTCACTAATTGTTAATATGAAAACTAAAATCTTTATACAATGTAAAGTTTCTCGTTTGAATTTTACACCAGAAATATATAAGCAGCATGTATATAAAATAGCAATAGCAGAAAATAATCACTGAGTAAGATTGATTTTTAAAGATTTTTGCAAGGGAGGGGACGGATATCTGGCCATTATTCAGTCTTTGAAGTCCTTATTGAATTGGTGTGAAGAAGCTGAATTTTATTCATTAGTTTGTACCTGAATCAATTCTGCACAGCTATGTGCATTGATTCTACTCTCAATGGACTATTTTAAAGTCTACTGTAAATATGGAACCCAATATAAAAAAATTGATGTATGAAAATTAAACCCCAAAGCACTAGTGGCATCATTTGTTGTGCTATATGTAGGGATTTTCGGTTCATCCAGTGCAATGTTTCTTTTATTGCAGCAGTTGTGGGGAAATGTTCTGTTAACAGCCAATAGTGAATATTATGTTCAGGAATAGAACATTTACTTCATCATTTTCACATGCATTTCATGCTGAACTGTGTTGACCACCAAAAAACTCACTCCTAGTACCTGCCATCCACTTAGTGAAGGCTCAATCCTGTGTTTGTTGGTACCAACTTGTGACTATTCTCCTTAGGGGGGAGGTGAGCAGGGTCTCCTTGGAGCTAAACCGGCTCCAAGGTGACTTATTTTTCAACAGAATGTCAGAATTGAGCCCACCTTCTGTGGTGATTTTGGTAGTTCAGTTCCTGACCCAGGGGTGTCAAATCCCACACCTGTGAACTCACTCACTTAGCTTTTCTTCACCTCCGCAATATTGTATGCCTCTGCCTCAGCTTGTGCTTTGGGACGTCCTCCCAAAATGAATGATGCTATATAAATGTATATTGTATTGTAAAACTATAGATAAGCATTCCCTAACACAGATTTGGACTCATCATCATAATAATAATAATAATAATAATAATAATCCTTGCCTTTGATATAGCACTTTTCACGTTTTCTAGATTTACATTTACATATTTTATATTTATATTTTTAT